GTTTGGGCCCAAACCCCAAAAAACCCCCAGGCGGGGGTGGGGGGCCCAGAATTCTGGGAGTTGAAGTCCACACACCTTAAAGTTGCTAAAGTTGAGAAACACTGGTTTAGACCAATGACAGAGAGAACTTTGAATCTGACTGACAATCCAAAACAACAATGAAGAGGCCTCCTACTCAGAGAATAGCCTATAAAGAATATGGTGCTGGGCTTCCTGTTTCTTTATAAGTGGTATTGGTTAGAAAAAAACAATAATTCAGCATGGGCAGAGAAAATGAATTCTGCAGTGTGTTTTTGGGGTCTCTCTCTCTCTCTGATACTACATGCTTGCAGCAGCCCCCATACCATTAGGTACAGCTATCATGTGGAGAGCTAACACATAGGTTGGGAGGTGGGATGGTTTTGTTTTTAGCACTTTCCTCATAGAATTTGGGGAACAAATTCTAAATCAATTGAGGATTAGAAAATTGTGCAAAGCAAGAGATAGCGCCCCCTTTGCTGTGATTGTTTCCCTCATACAAGTGGGGACCCCTACCTTAATACAAAAAGGGGCTTGGAGCTGTCTCCAGTGGTATTTCTGGGTGGGGAGTAAAAAAAAGGTCAAGATGGTGGTTGGGGCAATACAACCCAAGTCCCGCCCCTTTGTAGACATGCACATACAAAAGGGGGGGGGCTTGGATTACACTGCTGTGACTGCCATCTAGACTTTAGTGGATGCTGCTTGCTGCATCCACGGCTAGTTACTTCTCACAACCTGGTTTACATCTCGAACATGGCTCATGTGAGTCCCTTTACGATGGCATATATACCACTGCCCTTTATAAAGTCACAGGGAGGCTGAAGAGTACAACATTTTGGGCATCATTGGTTCTCCACATCTGGTGATTTCTGATGGGAAAGAATGCAAGTTCTCAGTTCCTAAGTACGCAAAAGCAAATCTGCTGATAGGTTCGTTGTTGCCTACCAAGCATTGTTTACCAAACTTTATTAATCAAAACAAAGTTAATGGGAGATAGTTTACTGCTAAGCAAAGCATCAGTCTGAAGCATAAATATATTTCCAACAATATTGCTGGGTCCTACATGGGAGCATTATTAGACGCAGAAATATGGCTGTAGGCCTGTGCTTGCAACAGGCCCATAACATCCTTTCAGTATCCAACATGTGTTCATTGATTCCAAAAGATTGAAGACCCTTCCTGTAAGGTGTTAGGACTTAAAGCAAACCAGTATATTCCCCTCCAGTTCTACTTTTCCTTCCATATCAACATTCAACAGATAAAAAACATTGCCTGTACTCACTTCTTCTTGAGTATTTTGATTTCTTTCTTAGATGTACAAACTGCATTTCTTGAGAATCCCTTGAATATCTTAAAGTCTGTATCTCATTTGAACCAGTCTGTTTTTTCCCCCAAAATTGTATGTATTCAATCATTTAAGTATGTTCCCATATGTAAACTAAACTACATATTCACATCTTTTTAGGCTTATTCAAAAGTATGACTCACTATATTCAGTGGAGCTTTCTCCTAGACAGAGATGGAGATTGAAACCTTATGCAAGTTTACTCAGAAGTACTCTAAATCCTATTCAGTGGAACTTATTTCTAAGTAAATGTGGACAGTTTTGTCTGAATTACTGCAGGAAACTGATGTATCAATTTCATTTATTTTAAAAGTTGTGCTGCTATATATTTATCTACTGGTGAAATATGAGCATCATCCACATTATTCAGCATTTGTGGAAATGTCTTCTAATTAAATCCATTTCTTCCCTTTCTGAACCCCATCTGGCGTCTCAATTGTGTTTTCCCGATTCATAATTGCATTGGCAGAAGCCAAATGTTCTGCTTCTTCTAAGAACCCTGGTAAAAGAGAAGCAAGGAAAGAGGGCATGTGCGAATTTACAACAAGTTTGAGAACTGTAGAATTGTTAATGTTAAAGCTCAGAACTGTTGCAGTGAGGCCAATGTGATTATATTAAAACCTCATTAAAGGTGTGGGCTAAAAAGAATATAGTGACCAAAAAGCACTAACTTTAAAAAAGGAATAGGGTATATGTTCCTAAGAATCAATTAAGAATTATGATGGAATTGTGTATAAACTAGGGATTTTTTCTGAAACGAAGAGGGGAAAAAGATGTTGGAAGATAGGAATAGTTAGTAGATTTAAGCTTTTGTTGTTGTCAGAACTAGTGTACTACTACTGTAACAGTTTTATAACAGATCTGTTGGGTTTTAGGGTTACCATTTCAGGGATTTTTAAACTTTGGGGGGGGGGTTATATTTTTTTAACCTGTAGGTGTTTAAGGACAGACTAGAGACCATGTAAACCAACCAACCAACAACCAACCAACCAACCAACCACAAAGTAAGGCTACTTCCATCTTTTAATGGCCCCTCTCTGTTTGTAAATTTAGGAAATATAGTACTTGAATACTTCTGACTATCATTTAATTTTCAGAATTAGAGATAGTGGGTAACAATTCTGCATAATCCATCACAAACTTGAGGATACATGCACTAGCGGGTAGTGATTTCCTAGGGTATTTTTGTACTAGATGTCACTTAAGGAACATTATCAACAATTTAAAATAACCTTTTCAGATTTAAGATCCCAGTGATAACAACATATATTTTGTCCAATATTTTCAATGCATGCTTATAATGACCAGAATTTTAATTTGCTTGAACCAGCATCTAAACCAAGAGTGGGCAAATTTTGATGGCAGGAACGGCACCTAACCTTTTTTTGAGTGGTGAGTGATGTAAAATAGGTCTTAGATTTTCTAGCAGAGGCTGGTTTGGGAGAGAATCATGGGGCTTGCTTTAGTTTCTGAATTATGTTAAAGCCTATTTTAAAGCTTACACTATACATTTTTATTGTTTCCCAGCTCCAACATGGCCCCAAACATCATCCATTTTTTAGCAACTTGGACCACAGACTACACAGAAGAGGTCTAAGGGTTGCACGTGGCCCTAGGGTTTCAGATGGCCCACCCCTGCTCTTTCTAACCATTGCCTTTTGTGGATATGTTCCCAGAAAAGTTGATGTTAAATACTTTTCCAGAGGGCAATATCCCCCAAAAGGAATTTGCTTCTAATAGTTGACAACCATAATTTTCAATACTTCAAATAATGCTATCTATAAGTGGATCCACTTATACATGAGTAGCTGGAATCTTTTCTCTCACAAGTACTGTATTTATCTGAAGGGACTACAACCCCCAGTTTCAAACAATATCACCTCCAGAAGAGAAATTAGACAAAATAAACTCATTTGTTTCCATTACTGTATTTTCAGTTAAGATTAGGACACTTTGTGCTCCTCCTAAATTAGTGCTATACCCCTGTCATGCACTGTGTCTCCAACAACTCTGATTTATGTTCAGCTTGGGTGCAGTCTTCAAACATTACTGTAAATCCAGGTTTCCACTTGAAATGCTGGAGCTCCATAGGGTTTGGGGAAAGGTGTTTTTCCACTGGTGGGAACCCTCCCACTCGAGAGATTCTGTCATGGTGGCATTATGCCAAGATCCTAACATTGTACCATTCGCTGTTCCTTTAAATTGTGAGCAGAAGATTGGTGCCATGGCAGTTTACCCTGTTGTAGGAACTACAATGTCTTTGTATAACTTGCCAAGCTTGTTGTTTGATATGGTTCATCAGCTGGAGGAGAAGTCCACATAGCGCATAGAGGGTTCTCCCTTTTTTGAGGACAGCAGCAGTGAAGATGCTTACCGGCTGATCTCCAAATTGCTATAGTCTACTGCTTTGTGTCTAGGTGCACACCACTGGATCTACAAGAAGGAAACAACCTGCTGGTGTAAAAACGTCTTCTACTGAGAGTTACAGGCAACAGATTCATTTCTAGGAGAAAGATCTGCAGCTGCTACACAGTGCAACTCAAAAAAAAGTTACCAGCAGATTTCCTATATCTGAATGATTTCTGTATGATTCTTTGCATATGTCAAAGGGTTTCAAGTATTTGGGGTGCTTCCAGAGAAAAGGATTTCAGCATTACCCATCAAAAGATATTGTGCAGCAATTCAATCTTTCTTCTTTTAGTGGTGAGAAAAAAGACAGAAAATGATGAGAAAACATAAGAAGATAACAGAGGAAAGATTTCATTTGCTTCTCTCTCTTCTGCTCCTCACGTATAATCAGCGAGATGCTCACCCTGACTCACTTCGAAGCTTCCTTTATTGAAGCAAGGATAAATGCAAAAGTTACAAAAAGAAATAAAATGATGAAGAGGCAGATCTCTTTGCTGAATTTCTCCAACTTTGGGTATGGGTATGGCATCCTGGCCAACTGATCCCAAATTCCTATAATTTATGCTTTGATAGCTCTACCAGAACTGGGTTGCAAAACTCCAGATGATTACCAGATAGAGAAAAAAGAATCTTCTGAACCTCTCTGGCATCATCTAATGATTGACCAGATTGTTTTTGCAGCCCAAACTCATTAGCTTTACTTTTGAGAATGGCTCAGATGATCATTAGCACCACCCCTTTTTTTTTTTTTTTTACACAGACACATCCTGAATTTCTAGTGTATATTCTCGTAAACTGATGTAAAGGCTCAGGCAAAAGATATGATGAGAAACTTTGTACTTCTGTTGAAACAGGAAGGGAGAAATCTTAGAGCTGTTGATGTCACCAAGGCCGTCTTGAGAAGCAAGGTCCGTTTTTGTGCATTGAAAAATGTCTGCTTGAGCAATGAACAGAGCGTTATTAGCCACTTGCTGATTTTGCTTATCACATTACTTTAATGAGGGGGAAAAGTAGATTACATTTCAGTTCAGTTTTTAGATATCTAAGAGTTTAATCTGAAAAGTGTGAGAGGGCATATTTTGGTTAAATTCACACATTGTACTCTGTTGTACTGTTGTTTGGTTTGGAGTGTCGTGTGATCCAAACATTGTGGGTTGTAGACCAGCATTTGTGCCCTACTGGAGGGATGGGCAACGAACAGCCCAAATGCCATATCGGGCCCTTTCATTTTCTGGGCCCTCATAGTCCTCCCTGAGTTTGAATGGTAAAAACTAATCTGCACAGTTTCTGCTAGGTGTAGATGGGGAACAGATTAAAACTACAGTGGAAGCTTTAAAATAATCATATCAGAGTTTTAAATACACACACACACACACACACTCCCAAATTCCTCACATAAAACCACTTTCACCTAAATCTGTGATGTGGCCCCATTCAGTTGGGGTCTGCCTCCTCCAAACGTTAAATGCAGCCCTTGGCCAGCAAAAGGTTGCCGACCTTAACTTTAGCACAATGTGTAAACTCAGCCAGTTGTGGTTTATTAAGTAAATCATGGCTTGGTAGAATGTCTGAACCCAGTCCCTCAATTTTATATGCAGCTTTCTTACGAGGAAGAAGTTTGTGACCTTCGTGGGTTTTTTTTACCACTTATATGTTCATCAGCTGAAATAAGTGTGAACATGCGACAACTAAACTAAACAAACAAAAAAATCATTTACGAACAGCCCTTATCTACATACAGATTTAGCTCTGGATATTTGACTGGTTACTCAACTGACATTCCAGGTGGATAGCTTATGGTACACATTTCATTGAGATACAAAGTTCTCCATAAACTCCACTATATGAGTCAGCATTTTCTCTATCAGTAAACGGCCAAGAAAGAAAGAATATTAACAGCAGATTTTTCTCCTGCAGGGTGAGGTAACTTATTTCTGTCTCAGCAAAATAAAGGACAGAAATACAGGCTGCCAGTTCAGTCAAATAAATGTGCTGTATTGCTACTTTATTTTTACAGAAATGCTGTGAAATAGTTTCCTTCGTTTAAATATACAATTATCATCTTAAAAAAAAAAAGACTTTTTTTTTTAAGTTGCAAAAATGGGTAGTTGAGAGACAGGTACACGATGACCCCAGAAAACAATGGCAAGGCATCGCGTGTGATGAATTCCTGTTTGATTTGCATTCAGGTCTGCAGGAGAAAAGCAGAGACAGGGATATTCTGTTGAACCTTCCTGAATTTTCACCTGCTTTTGATACTACAGGACCAACCATGATAATCTCCTGGATAGTCTCTGAATGGGGGTTTGCAGGCCCAGTGCAAAGGCCGGTTCCATTCCTATTTGCAGGAAGTTTCCAAAGCACAGCATTTGAGGACTCAGCTTCTGCATCCTGACAGCCACAAAACATGGTTTTGGCTCCACTGCAGTTTGTTTGCTTACTTGTGCACAGGGCATATAAGCCGCTCCAGTTAGAACTGACTCTGAGCAGCATACAGTTCCCCCTCCATAGATTGAGATAAAAACAAAACAAAAGACATTATACCAGTGTTTCTCAACCCTGACGGCTTCAAGATGTGTGGACCTCATCACTCAACGATCTTACCCCCCCCCCCCCCCCCC